GAAAATTATAGGCTAATATCTCTGATGAACATGGATGCGAAGATCCTCAACAAAATATTTGCAAATAGAATCCAACAACTCATCAAAAAAATCATACACCAAGATTAAGTGGTATTCATCCTGGGGATGCAAGGATGGTTTAACATTTGGAAATCAATCAACATAACCCATCATATCAACAAAAGTAAAGATAAAAACCATATTATCATATTAATAGATGCATAGAAAGCATTTGACAAGATCTAACACCCGTTTATGATGAAAACTCTCACCAAAATGGGCTTAGAAGGAACTTTCCTCAAGATACTCAAAGCCATCTATGACAAACCTATGGCAAGCATTATCCTCAATGGGGAAAAACTAAGGGCCTTCCCTCTATGATCAGGGATAAGACTAGGATGCCTACTCTTGCCATTTCTGTTCAATATAGTACTGGAAGTAATTGCAATAGTAGTTAGGCAAGAAAAAGATATTAAGGGCAACCAGATAGGGAAGGAAGAAATCAAGCTATCATTATTCACAAATGATATGATACTATATATAGAGAATCCTAAAGCTTCTACCAAGAATCTCCTAGAAACAATAGACTTGAACAATAAAGTCGCAGGCTATAAAATCAATACCCAAAAATCCATGGCCTTCCTATACGCAAATAATGAGATAGAAGAAAGAGACATGAAAAAAGCAATCCCGTTCACAGTTGTGCCCCAGAAAATTAAGTACCTCAGAATCAACCTAACTAAGGAGGTAAAGGAACTCTACAAAGCAAATTACAAAATGCTACTCCATGAAATAAAAGAGGATATGAGGAAATGGCAACATATCCCCTGCTCATGGATAGGAAGAATTAACATTGTCAAAATGGCAGTACTCCCCAAGGCACTATACAGATTCAATATGATCCTTATAAGGATACCCATGAAATTCTTCAAAGAAATGGATCAAGCACTCCTAAAATTCATTTGGAATAACAAATGCTCACAAATGGGAGGCATCACCCTCCCCAACCTCAAATTCTACTACAAAGCGGTAACAATTAAAACAGCATAGTACTGGAACAAAGGCAGAACCACAGACCAATGGAACAAGGTGGAATATCCCTACACACAACTCCAAATGTATGAACATCTAATCTTTGATAAGGGAGCAAGAAATGTGAAGTGGAGCAAGGAAAGCCTTTTTAACAAATGGTGCTGGCATAATTGGACAACCACATGAAAAAAAAATGGGCTTAGACCTCAACTTAACACCATGCACAAAAGTCAGATCAAAATGGATTAAAGACCTCAACATCAGACCAGAATCCATAAGGTACATTGAAGACAAGATCAGCAAAACCCTCCACGATATTGAGGCTAACGGTTTCTTCAAAGATGACATGCCACTGACCAAACAAGTGGAAACAGATAAACAAATGGAACTATATTAAACTAAGAAGTTTGTGCACCTCAAAAGAAACAGTGACCAGAATACAAAGACAATCTACAGAATGGGAAAGGATATTCACCCAATATAGGGCTGGAGTGATAGCACAGTGGGTAGGGCATTTGCCTTGCAAGTGGCCACCATGGCCGACCCGAGTTCGATTCCTCCACCCCTCTCGGAGAGCCCGGCAAGGTACCGAGAGTATCTCACCCGCACGGCAAAGCCTGGCAAGCTACCCGTGACGTATTCGATATGCCAAACACAGTAACAACAAAGTCTCACAATGGAGACGTTACTGGGCCTGCTCGAGCAAATCGATAAACAACGGGAGGACAGTGACAGTGACCCATGCGATAAGGGGTTGATATCAAGGATATACAAAGCACTGGTTGAACTCCACAAGAAGAAAACATCAAACCCCATCAAAAATGGGCCGACGAAATGAACAGAAACTTTCTCAAAGAAGAAATCCGAATGGCTAAAAGGCACATGAGAAAATGCTCTACATCATTAATCATCAGGGAGATGCAGATTGAAACAACAATGAGATATCATCTCACACCACAGAGACTGGCCCAATTCTGAAAGAACAAAAGCAACCGGTGTTGGCGTGGATGTGGCGAGAAAGGGACCCTCCTTCACTGCTGGTGGGAATGCCAACTGGTTCAGCCCTCTTGGAAAACAGTATGGAGATTCTCAAAAAATTAGAAATTGAGCTCCCATTTGACCCAGCAATACCACGCCTGGGAATATATCCCGGAGAGGCAAAAAAGTATAGTCGAAATGATATCTGCTCTTGTATGTTCATTGCTGCACTGTTCACAAGAGCCAGAATCTGGAAAATACCTGAGTGCCCGAGAACAGATGACTGGTTAAAGAAACTTAGTTACATCTACACAATGGAATACTATGCAACAGTTAGAAAGGATGAAGTCATAAAATTTGCAAACAAGTGGTTCTACATGGAAAGTATTATGCTAAGTGAAATGAATCAGAAAGAAAGGGACAGACATATAAAGACTGCACTCATCTGGGGAATATAAAGTAACAGAATGAGAGACAAACATCCAAGAATAGTTGAGATAAGTACCAGGAGGTCTGCTCCATGGCTTGGAAGCCAGGAGGAAAATGTGCTGGGAGAAAATGCCACTCAGATAGAGAAGGGAACACCAAGTAAAGGGTGTTTGGAGGACTCGCTTGGGATGTGAGATGTTTGCTGAAAATAGACTATAGACCGAACATGATGGCCACTTAATACCTCTATAGCAAACCACAACACCCTAAAGGAAATAGAGAGCAAAAGAGACTGCCTTGCCATAGAGGTGGGATGGGGTGGAGGGGGGTTGGGGGGTGGGAGGGCTACTGGGTTCATTGGTGGTAGAGAATGGGCACTGGTGGAGGGATGGGTACTTGATCATTGTATAATTGAAACCCAAACACAAAAATGTGTAAGTCTACAACTGTACCTCATGGTGTTTCACTAATAATAAAAAATAATAATACACACACACACACACACACACACACAAAGAATGTTAGCCCTTCACAAGTCTTGTGCTGGTGGTTTTCCTTGAAACTACCTGGGAGTCCGTTTTGAGCACTATGTCCTATTTCAGGACACCTTCTCACCTAGATACTGCAGCCAAGCTCTCTCTTCCTTGTCTCTGTTTCTGGTCCTGTCGCTTTCCAGTTTCTTTACTTTGCAAAGAGTGCTCTTTCTTTAAAAGGGGAAAACTTGCAGTGGTCACTAAGTCATTTCCATGAGTCTTTGTTGCTACCAAAATAAAGCCTGACGTCCTCAACTTGGTAGATAATGTAGATTACCATTTGTACATCATTACTTTTATAGCTCAATTTAAGTTTTTTGCTGCCTTCTACTCACAGAGTTATTCCTGAAAGCATTTAAAACAAAAACAACAACAAACAATGTCCTTCTGTTGTTCATCGATTTGCTCGAGCTGGCCTAGTAACATCTCCAATTTTTGGAGACTTGTTGTTACTGTGTTTGACATATTGAATATGTCACGGGTAGCTTGTCAGGCTTTGCCGTGCGGATGAGATACTCTCGGTAGCTTGCCGGGCTCTCAGAGAGGAGTGGAGGAATCGAACCCGGCTCGGCCGGGCTGGCTGCACGCAAGGCAAATGCCCTACCACTGTGATATCGCTTTAGTTCTGCAAAATTCCATATTCTTTTCCTCCTCTAGTATTTAAACACACTTTCTTCTCCAAAGAACAATGCTGATCTTCCCTGATCTCATCAGGGGCTTCCAATCTCTATGATGTCCTCTAGGTCTTAAATTATCAATCACCTATTCCAGGAAGACTTATCTTCTCTAAATCTGCCGTAGGTGGCCCTCCAAGAGGGCTTGTTCTTCTGTTCTTCTGTCATGGAACCAGTTAACATTACATTATGATTGCCTCTTTCCTTGCTGGCTTATGGGAGGGAGGCTCCATAAATAATAAATGACTCAATAGCTTAGTCCACGAAGCTATAACTCAGCAAGTGTAGTGAAATCAGTAACACATCGGAAGACTGGAAACTTAATCCAGGGTCCTTTCTACCACCGGGTCAGATGAGGGTAAGAAAGCCTGGAAATTCACTGCCCCAAAAGGGTGGAACGATCTCCACATGGTACAGCTATCCTAGACTAAAGATGAAAAAAACTTTAGATTTGAACCTGTTCATGTTTCCCTTGGCTCTCTCTCTTTTGAGAGAGCTAAAAAGGCCTGAGGTTGATGGAAAACAGAACTGATCAGTCTTGAAAAGGACCAAACAGCTCATTTCATAAGCTATCCTTGCATTTATACTGTAATTCACAAGGTACTCTGTATTCTCTGGACAGTGAAATATGGCTTCCTGAATTAAAACTTTGCCTAGAGGGAATCCAGTATAGGTTGAAAAGGGAGTGTTTCCTATCATATACATGTAGACATATACACAGATGTAAGTCTATATATTTAGAATATAAATCATTAAACTAGTCAAAGTTGTCATCATTTATAAGAGGAGCTATATGGAAGAGGGAAAATAAAATCATGCCATTTATTAAACAAAATACCCCAAATATACATAAATTAAAACTATAATTTTATTTTCAGTACTTGTGACATAATTAATCTCTTACAGATTTATGTCAACACAGCTTGCCAGTGAAGTGAAAATTGTATTATGTATATAGTATAAGCATATTATTTTTCTCAGCTCTGTAACAAGCACTGCTAGACTCCAGCTGAAACTTGAAATTATTGTACAGATATCATATTCCAAATGTGTATTTATTGAAATATTTTCAGGATCACAAAAGCTGCCTACCTTCTTTATAATTCCAAGACCAAAGGGTTTAGAACTTAATTTAGGAATAAATTGTCTTTCAAAAATTAAATCATTTAGAGTTCATTTTAGGTTTGACCAAGCAATCTCTAACCCATTTTCATGAGATGGATTTTGGCTTTAAGTAATAAACAGAACACAATTCTGAAATGGTCCTTAAAAGCAAATATTTTAATGTTAATATTAAACCACAATAAAAACATAAGGGCAATATGAATATTTGGTTTATATAAATGAAAAATACCATCATTAGCGGCTTTAGTGATTGCTTTTGCTGCGTTCTTCTGAATTTCAGGAATTGTAGAGTTTTCTGCAAATGTTAGTAGCTTCTTCAGACCACCTGACTGATGGATCAATGCCATAGTTTCTGTGTCTTCGAGGCAATTGGCCACCACTGCAAGTGCCTCTATGTGAAGATCATTCCATTCCTAATAATAAAAGCAAACACAACTTTAGAAAACTATTCTAAAGAAATTTACACAGTTCAAATTTGGCTAAGAGGGGATGCATGCAGATAACAGTGTAATTGATTTTGTTGTGATAGAGACCCAAGGAAACTATTCTGTTTATCACAGTAACATCACATATCCTAATCATTTATCACACATGTAAGTGAGGTTCATAGGTATTCGCCTTCCTCTAGCTAGCTTATTTTCCTTAGCATAAGACCCTCAAGGGCCCCCAAATTGTTGCAATGAAAGAATGTCCTTTCTTGTGGCTGAATAATATTCCTATGTGTGTGTCTGTGTGTATGTGTGTGTGTGTGTGCACAGATACACCACGTTTTCTTTATTCGTTTATTCTTTTATTAATTTCTTTATTCATCCATCAGTTACAGAGCTGTTTCCATATTTTGGCTTTGGTAAATAATATGCAATAATTCCCCACAATACTAGACCAACTACCTAGTTCAGTTCTAGGACCTGAGGATTTGGTATTTGCTTGGGCCCTGTGATGCTGGGTACCTCTAAGGTACTTAGGTACCCACCAGGCCACACTCAGTAATGCTTTAGAGGCCATATAGGGCCGAAGATGAAGATCTGGGTCTATCATGTGCCAGGCATGCACCAAACCATTGCACTACTCCCAGAACTCCATTTTAAACTATTTTTTTTAAAAATGTGTTATGTGGTACTAGGATTTTAACCTAGGGTTTCACATATATTATATGTGCTCTACCTCTGAGGCACATCCCTAGGCCTATTTTTTTCTTTTGGGTCACACCTGGTGATGCACAGGGGTTACTTCTAGCTCTGCACTCAGGAATCACTCCTGGCGGTGCTCAGGGGACCATATGGGATGCTGGAAATCGAACCCGGATGCAAGGCAAATGCCCTATCTACTGTGCTATTGCTCTAGGCCCCTGGGCCTATTTTTAACTTTTGAAGGAAACTTTCAGAAGATTAAAAAATATTTTTCATTGACCTCTATCATTAGCCTTACTTAACTATGCAGATAAATTGCACTCCAAATAAGCCAATTAGTTCATTATATTTAGAGCATCATGCTTAAATATAACACAACTTTATTTAAGGCAATTCACACTTTAGGAGAGTGGTATTTCTTCATAAAGAATTGAATAAATTTTACAGTACCTTTGTTTCTAGGATCTTATTAAGCTGGTCTACTCCTTGATTATCTCTTAGCATTGTTCGTATCTCTTTATCATGTGAAATAAGACTTAAGGTTTTGAGAGCCAACAATTGAATAACTGGATATTCTGACTTCAAGAGCTCTAATATAGGAGGAATTGCATTTAGTTCTTGAAGTGCAGTTCGACACTGAAAATCCTGCCATGAAATACAAACAATTAAATAGCAAAATATCCTCTTTTCTAAAAGAGAGCACTCTAAGTTGTAACTTACCTATATTCCCTATACCTATACCTATACTTACCCTATATTTCCTTTTACCCTATATTCATCTTTTACCTTATATTCCCTTCACTAACTCACAAACCAAAAAAATAGGCAAATCCTCAATAGACAATATGAAAATATCCATTTTAAACTATGCAAACATTGTCAATGACACAAAACAGACATGAACTATGGACTTTGGCAGGTTTTGTTTTTGTATGCAGCAAATTCCTCTGCTGAGAAATATGGCAATAAGATCTATGAATAATACAATTCTTTTCCCACTCTGTTTCAAATAGAATGTGATAAAAATGAAACAAGGGCACCAATTCCTTGCCATCTGCATTCAAATGGATTAGCCGGAAAATATTTACATGCACAGTCATCCATTGGCAAGCCTGGTGCATGTGAGTTTCCATCAGGTTTAGTTTTGACATATGACCTTTATTTAGAACATTCACCACTGAGGTTCTTTGGGATCTAGACAAGTGGTTTTTCACTGTGTCCCTGTCACTTTGCGTGAGTAGTGGGGGCAGGGATTGGTTGGAGTGAGCAATGGTAGGCCAAGGCGTACCAAGCCTCCCAACTGTATTCAATCATGACCTTTTCAATCAAAGCGGGGTCAATGTAAAATAGCGTGAAGGGTAGAAAAGACTCTGCTGGCCCAGCTATCCTCCAGGCATCATCTCACTGAGTTCAACACTGTTTCCTCCAGCCACCACACTTGCAGGTTGCTCTTTGTTAACGGTTGCAGTGCATGAAGAACAATACAACTGGTATTGTATTAAAATAGGGCACGGGAATCTTCTGCTGAGAAAGAACCTTTACTCTAGTCCTCAACCTGGAGCTTCCCAGGACTGGCTCAGATGACTGACATTTAAGGAAGCCAACACTTTGAATATTCTGCCTGAAAGGACTGACAGAGGTGGCCGTGTGACCACTCCACACCTTGTGACTCTTCACCAGACCATTTCCTCACCTGTCCCCTTCTCTTCCTTTACCTTCTCCCCTCCTCTTGCTCTCTATAAGAACCCCCTGACCTGGGTTCCCCAGATACATATTTCATTTAAAATTTTTACTTATCCTTTTTAAGTTTTATTTTTTGTTTATGTAGGCACATGTCCAACAGTGCTCAGGGAATCCTACCAGTGCAATGCTTTGAGGTCACTCCCAGTGCTGCTAGATAACTGTGCAGAACTGGGGATCAAACCCAGGGCCTCCTACATGCAAAGTACATACTCCAGCCCATTAGCTATCTCTCCAGCCACACTAACCACCAAGTTTTAGGTTACATGTTTTAGTTTTAATCTGTGTACTCCAAATTTTAATGTTTTGCTATTTCCAAATGCACGTATTTCTGTAGGTCCGGTAACCACATTGTTCTCTTATTGCAGGCTAATAACTGTATCTCCCTGAAAATGATATTTTCTTTCATTTCTTATTTGGAATCCAGGTCATGGTGGAGTATCAGGAGTTAGGGCCCCGGAGGAGATGGGAGGCTCTCAATTCTGGCCCTGAAAGATAGGTGTCTTTTTAAGGGGAAGGGGGAAACAAAAGGAAAAATGGCAATGATGTAGCTTTGCCGACCAAATGCTGAGGGAGGGCAGTCTTCAGCAGAGGTCCTGAAGAGACAAGAGGGGACTCGACTGTGTCTCAGAAGGTTCATCCCTGCTGATTCCCTGTTTGCAAACTGCTAGCATTCAAGACTAGAAGGGAATCAATTACTGTCCTTTGACCTCACCCCCTGGATTGTGGTACTTGGTTTCACAGACCAATGAATGGTTACACAGAAATGAATGCCCTGCTATTAACCAGCTTTTACAAGGAGGAGTAGAGTAAATCTTTTCATTTCTAGTTGATAAAAAAAAAATAGGGAGAGAAATAAGGACTCTTAGGGGTTAAGAGGAAATACACACCTATATAGAATTATTTCTTCTCTTAACTATAATTCCTAGATTTACCTAGAACTGACAAATGAATGAAAGCCAGTGAGTTTTAAAAGCCCCCGCTTTTTTAGTCACTGTATCACTGTCTCCTGCCCCCGCACCCGGCTGTCCTCGCCAGGGCCCCTTGGAGGGGAGCGGGTTGAGTTTCCCTTCCTGACCTGATCAGGGCTCTGGCAGCCGAAGACCTCCAGAACTAGCCACCACCATGCTGAGACCACTCTCCACACGCATGAAGGTACTGGCAGAGGAACAAAGGCATGCGGGTCCCAGGGCTGAGATCTCCAAGCCTGCTTGGATCAGGACTGAGCATCCTCCACCCAGATCCTCCATATTCCAGTAGGCAGGGGTCACACCCACCAACTGGCCCCCTGGCGCTGTGTAATCCCATCAACGGCCAAGACCCAGAGACTATAAAACCCAGCTCCCGGAAGTGTGCGGTCACATTTGCGGCTGCGCGACATCTTATTACCTTATTCCTACTTTGGACAAACTGGCAGGCTACCGAATGTAACCTGCCCACACAGCAGAGTCTGGCAAACTCCCCGTGGCGTACCCAATATGCCAAATACCAATAAAAATGATGAGTCTCATTATCCTAACCCTGAAAGAGCCTTGAATATGGCACTTTTTAAAAATTCTCAGGGCTAGGACGAAGGAGGGGCCTGGGGTTTTGTTTTGTTCAAACAAAACCTGGGGCCTGCTCGAGGCAACCGACGAACAACAGGATGGTCGTTATCATAACACTGTCATCCCATTTTTCTTCAATTTACTCAAGTGGGTGCCAGTAACATCTCTATTCCTCCCAGCCTTGAGATTTTAGCAACCTCTTCTTACTCGTCTTTTCCCAATTATTGGAGGTTCTTTCAGGGTCAGGGGAATGAGCTTGCCAGGCTCTGCACATGCGGGCGGGATACTCTCAGTAGCTTGCTGGGATCTCCGAGAGGCATATATTTGTATATTTCTCTCTATGATTTGTTGCCTACTGTCTGAACCCCATCAAATATGGTGTGGTAATTATGTAAAATGGGTAGGAAGTGTTTTATAATGAGTCACGTGGTCTTAAAAGGTCCAGAAAGCGGCCTGGAGCATGGCAGCAGTTGGGTAGTGGAGGTCGGCTGTTGGGGCTGGGTCACTTGGGGCGGAGAGGGCTCTCACCACCCCACTCTGGGGTTCCCTGAGTGAAAACAGCCTGGCGCAGAGTCCAGGGAATATTAATTCTATAATTAGCTTATTCCAAAATGCCGCCAGAAGGGTCCTTACCTGGACCAGGTTGTAAATGCACTCAATGGAATTTTTCTTCACGTCCGGGTCCGGGCTGTTCAGGAGTCGAATAAGTGGCTCTAATCCACCACATTCAAATATTTGCACTTTACCCGTAAACTCGACAGACATGTTTGCTAGGCAAAGACTAGCGAACTCATGGATAACAATTTCTTCTGCATATCAAAAATAAATAACACAAGTATGCCAAAATCTTCTTCAACCCGTGCTCAAAAGCATGCCTAAAGAACTAATCCTCTATTCAAGTTCTGTATTGGTTGGAGTCCACTTGGGCCTAAGAGATTTTAATGACAAATAGCTACTGAAATTTTCTATAAACTGATAATCCACAAGTAATGAAATCAATTGGAAAAAAATCAACCAGTCTCATGTTTGAAATGGATGGAGCCCAGAAAGACAGTGCAAGTGTCAAGGCATTTTCCTTGCAAGTGGCTGGCCCCAGTTCGATTTCCAGAACCCCATGGTTCTCCAAGCACTCATGGGCCTCAGCACTGAGCTGCGAGTAGCCCACAAACATTACACGGTATGGTCCCCCAAGTCCCAAGTAATTAAGTAAAGAAAGTAAAGGCTGTAAAGTTACCATCTGGAGCTAGCTGAGCAATGATAGAGTTCATGATGTCCAATTCCCTTAGCAATTTTTTAACATCATCTGTAAAAGAAGACACTGAATATTAGTATTTGTCACACAATAGTAATTATAGTAACAGCTTCTGCTGAATGAATCTTTGAAGCAAGTGCTATTATCCAATTATACAAATAAGGAAACTGAGGCTCACAAAGTAAGTGATAGATCCAGGATTTCACACCCACACCTGCCTGACCCAACAGACTCCAGTGCATGTTTCTTGACCACTGAACTAAACTGAGCTCTACAACATGAGGAACCTCTCAGCCAGATCGAGTTACTGAACCCTGCACTAGTTAATTATACAATAATCATTCTTTCTTTGTTTTGTTGGGTAGGTATGTTTAAATTTTGATTTGGTGGGGTGAGGGGGTGGGAAAGGTTGGGTCACACCTAGTGTTGTTCAGGGCTTACTCCTGGCTCTGTACCCAGGGATCACTCCTGGCAGTTCTCAGGGGATCATATGGGACGACAGACCAACACCAAGCCCATATTGCTCACAAGCAAGGCAAGCACCTTACCTTCTGAACTATCTCTTTGACCCCTAGTTTGATTTTGAAAAAACTTGCACAGAATACAAGTAAGAATTATGTTACATTTTTATTTTAGATTAATGCATCTTGTTTATCTTCCAATTAATGATGGGGAATATCAAAATTACTTTAAGATTATTGCCGTTCTAAAGTTCATTTTCTATCATTTTTATTAACATTTGAAAGTTAGATGTATACATGTCTCTACTTCTTTTAACTATCCTTAAATTCCTCCCCCTGCCCCCATGAATTTTTCTCTCCCCTCTTCTTATTTTTTTTTTAAGAAAAAAAGCATAATTGCATCTTCAGTTCTAAAATTTTCCTTCTTGGTCAATCCTTTTTGTCTGTCAGCCAAGATTACCATTACCAGCGTTTTGGAAAAGTTTATTCTGCAGCCTCGGAAGCAGATGGTCTCTTGATGAATTCTTCCTCATTCAGCAGTGGATATACGTACTTGGCTTTCATTGGACACCTTTTCCTATGGGATCCAGGGATGGGGCTGTTCCTCAATCTGTTAAAATCTGTAGGTTCTCAGCTCATCATGTTCAAAACGACTAAAACAGGGCCAGAAAAACCACAGCTTGCTCTATGTAAATGAATAAACTTACAATACAAACTAATCAAACTTCTGGCAAAGGTAGCATCCCAGAGTAGAGAACACCATCTTTGCAATCAACTCTCATTAAAAAATAAAACAAAACAAAAAACCTTTTATCTCATAACTTAGGCCAGAGTCGTTTTGACTTAATACTCGCTCCTTTCACACATGTTGATGATATCCAGGAGTCCAAACTCTGGAAGAATGTGTTGAGATTCTCTTGTCACATGTGTGCATCTGTGTAGCACTCTGGCTTACTTTTGTGGAGCCCACAACCAACATCTATTTAACATCGTCACAAAAATATTCATGAGTTGTTGGATTTCCATGTCCATCCTGCGCCCAACATCCCAAACAGTCTTCCATATACTGTCAACACTTCCATGTGCTGACCATGAGGCCCAGGAGCCCCTGCTCTGGAGACTTCTCATTTCACTGTGGCAACTGTTCCCATGAGCCCAGTTCCTCTGCCTCCTGCTTCATTCTTTTATGACACTGGCCTTAGTCTACCCAGACATGCAAAAAGTTTTCACAGAGGCTTCTCTGTGACAAATTCTGAATATAATTTAGTCCAAATGGCCACTGATGTTCAACAATAGACCTGTTCCATTGACTCAGGTCTTTTCTTTCTAATTTTTTTGAGGGGAGGGGGCAACTTGGCAATGCTCAGCAGTTACTCTTAGCTCTGCACTCAGGAATTACTCTTGGCGGTGTTCGGAGAGCCGTATGGGATGCTGGGAATTGAACCTAGGTCAGTCATGAGCAAAGCAAGTGCTCTACCCTCTGTACTACCTCTCATGTTCTCACTTGGGCCTTTTCTTATAAATCAATGGTTGATCCGATTCTTGTAAGTTGGTGGCAAAAATTGCTCAGCACCAATTTGTCATTCTGCTTTTACTCAGCAGGTTGTTCAAAGAATCTTTTTCTTGAAGTTAAATCAGAAAAACCAAGGATAAGCTGCATCTCTTCCATAGCATAATATTGACCTCAGCCCGTCTTTCTCAGCAGAAAACACACAGATATGTAGAGAAATGAATGGAAACTGACTTGTGGTTCTAGTGAACAGTGTGATACCTACAATCCTAGGTAGTTGCTGCTCGGCTTGCAGCTCCTTCCTTTCCTGGTGGACTGTGTTGAACTCTGAGGCTGTTTTATTGGTCTCCAAAGCGGTACCCAGAGGCCCGAGTCTTCCCCTGGCTGTTGTCACAGTTCAATGGGAAAGCCCTAGGACATACTGCTTAAGTCCTGCAGAGCTGGTGACACCCTGGGCCACAATGGCAGTGCTTCAGGGCCATGCCCAGTGATTCGTGGAGACCACCATGGCTGGACCTGCGATGCTCAGGGCACCATGTGGTGCGGGGATTAAAGCTAAACCGGCTGTCTCCAAAGCATGCAGCTTCACCTGTTTTTATTGCATTCTTAACCACAATTCTTTGATTTTATAATAATGACCATATAATTTATTCAAAACAACACATACTCTTTTCCATCAAACATTTCTTGGGAAGGCAAACTCTTCAGATGGGCAGAAGCATTGTAAGACTCAGTTTTGAAAGCTTACTTTTCTCCCAACAATACTGATGAATTCTCTTTAGTGGACTTGATTTAACAAACCTCTGTCAGGGGACTTTACCAAACCAAATACAAATTGCACTCAAGACAGCAGTACCACTTCCACTTTTTTTTTAAAGGCTTTTAAAAAAAGAACTTAAATGTCACGAGTGAGTCCGACTTGGTACAGAGTTCAATCACTCTGGCTAAAGGCAAAGTAATAAAATTTAAAGAAGAAAGAACCAAGAATTGGTACACAACTGTCAAAGAGAAGGTTGATGCTCATTGCAATTTTTATTAAAAATTTCCTTTTAAATGCCACTTGACTTTTCCTTTTTTTTTTCCCACAAGGGTGACCCATTGTGAATACAGTGCTAGCTCTAAGTCTTCAAGAACCAGATGAAGATACGAATGTCGGCAGAAACATTTGTTCTAGGAAGCCTGCCTGAAGTTGATGATTCAGCCATGTGCCTGCAGCAATACATTTGTGTCCCTTGCATCAGAAACGTAACTTTTACTTAGATAGTGATGAGGAGGAAGAGGGTAATTGATGATGATGTTTTGGTTTTGAGGGGGAGGAGGGAGAGGTGGACAATATGTGATACCAGCAATTCAAACCAGCATTGTGACCACAGCAACTTCACCTTAAGCTTAAAGGACAGTACCTTACCTCCTATACACTCTCTCTGGCTCTTTATCTAATTTTTTAATACCAACTTTCCTGGAGCAGGAATCAAAGTTTGAATCATTTTTGTTACCATGTTGGCTCCTTTTTTCCTTTTTCCTTTGGGTTTATGGATCACATCCAACTGTGCTCAGGGCTTACTCCTAGCTCTGCATTTAGGGATCACTTCTGAGGTGGAGAAAAGGGGGGTCCTGGGGACAATATGTAGCTCCAGGGATAGAACCTGGGTTCACTGCATGCAAGACACACAAGTGATGTACCTGCTATACTCCCTCTATGGACCTCATATGTTGGCTCCCTTAACAGAAAGAAATTTTCCAAGCACGTGAGGAAGCCAGTATTTTATCTCTGTCATCTGAAAGATCAAAGAGAAAATCCACTCATTCAATAATGGTTTGATTTTTTTCTAGCACCCAATTCATGGAATTCAAAGAAAGCTCTTGAAGTTCATTCTTCGGGTTTGAGATCCAAGGACTTGGTGAAGATGGTGAAGGCACAGAAAAGCCCTCCCGTTTGCCAAGACATGTGGTCTGTTCCTGGTACTGCTAATAGCCCAGTCTGGTGCTGGCTGGGGTGATTCAGAAAGCCCTTTAGCATCCAAATTTAATAGTAAATATTTTCTTCATTCTTCCTTTCTTTTTTATTTTAAACTCATATAATGTTTAATCATCCATTTTTTTGCACATCACATCTGTATAGATATTTATGACACATATTTAAAGTGTCCCTTTCAGAAGGGGGGCGGTACTGGCTCGTCCTTCATGCCCGACCGAGGTCACGAGCTGCCTCCCACGAGTGGCTCTCTGGCACGGTCATTGCTCCAGAGGCAAAAGGACTTAATCCAGAGCCCGGCAGCTTGCGGCAGAAAAGTGTATGAACCATGCGTTAAACTACGGTGCCATGCATCCCTGGGAGGGAAAGGGTGTTGCTCCTGTCCGCCTTTTCCTCCCCTGGCAGCAAGGTGGCCACCACCTCAGAGCTTATTGGAAAGCCAGGTATGAACCGGCGGTGACAGGGCAACTGCAGTCTCATGGGAAGGGGGGCAGTACTGGCCCGTCCTTCATAACCTACCAAGGTCACGAGTGGCTCTCGGGTGGCAGTGCCATAACACCAGACACACAGAAACCAATCTTGTAATTATCTGGCTCTTTGCAGAAATCCAAAATCATTATATGACTCTCATAACCAGCTGTAGAAAACAAAGTATGTCACAATGTCTTTTCAGCAATTCTGATTGTTGGGGGGGGGGGGGGGGAATTCTAAACAATAATGGTGCATCTTTTGGCAAAATAATGAATGTTAATCACGAATCACGAATCACGACCATCCTGTTATTCGTCGATTGCCTCAAGCAGGCCCCAGTAACGTCTCCTTCATCCTAGTCCTGAGACTATATTCAAGGCTCTTTAGGAGAATGAGACCCATTATTGTTACTGGTATTTAGCATATTGAGTATGCCACGGGGAGTTTGCCAGACTCTGCCATGTGGGCAGGCTACATTTGGTAGCCTGCCAGTTTGTCCAAAGAAGGAATGAGATAATAAGATGTCATAATAAGATGTCATAATAAGATGTCACGCGGCTGCAACAGTCTCCTGCCCCCGCGCCTCGCTGTCCTCGCCGGGGCCCCTTGGAGGGGAGCGGGTTGAGTTTCCTCCCCGCCCCGACCAGGGCTCCGACAGCCGAAGACCTCCAGGACCAGCCACCACCACGCTGAGACCACTCTCTGCACACATGAAGGTACTGGCAGAGGGACAAAGCCACGCGGGTTCCGGGGCCGAGATCTCCAAGCCTACTCGGACTGGGGTCGAGCATCCTCCACCCAGATCCTCCAAATTCCAGTAGGCAGGGGTCACACCCACCAACTGGCCCCCTGGCGCCGTGTAATCCCATCAACGGCCAAGACTCAGAGACTATAAAAACCAGTTCCCGGAATGTTAATCAGTGTAGAGAAAAGTTAAGTAGAAATCATCTGCCTCACAGGCATTGGGAGGGGTGGGAGGGGGGTATATTGGGGTTCTTGGTGGTGAAAGATGAGTACTGGTGAAGGGAAAGGTGTTTGATCATTGTATGAGCAAGACTTAAACCTGAAAGCTTTGTAACTTTTCCCACAGTGATTCAATAAATAAATATAAGAAGAGAAAAAAAAAAAAAAACAAAGTGTCCCTTTTATATTTTGCAAAATTGCATAAAAGATTATTGTTTAACTTAAACTGTGCTTGAACATTGACTTTTTTTTAATTAGTGAATCACCGTGGGGTACAGTTACAGACTTACAAACTTTCATGCTTACGTTTTAGTCATACAATCGTCAAGTACCCATCCTTCTACCAGTGCCCATTCTCCACCACCAATGATCCCAGTATCCATCCCCTCACCCCCACCCAATCCCCCACCCCACCCTGCCACTGAGGCAGGGCAATCCCTTTTGTTCTATCTTTCCTTTGGGGTGTTGTAGTTTGCACTAGAGGCACTGAGTGGCCATTGTGTTTGATCTATAGTCTACATTTGGCTCGCATCTCCCAACCCAAGCTGGTTCTCCAAATACCCTTTACTTGGTGTTCCCTTCTCTATCTGAGCTGCCTTTTCCCCCAACATTTTAGGCTGGCTTCCAAGCCGTGGAGTAAACCTCTTGGTCCTTATCGCTACTATTCTTGGGTGTCAGTCTCCCATTCTGTTACTATAGATAGATAGATAGATAGATAGATAGATAGATAGATAGATAGATAGATAGATACAGATGAGTGCAATCTTTCTATGTCTGTCCCTCTCTTTCTGACTCATTTCACTTAACATGATACCTTCCATGTTGATCCATTTATATGCAAATTTCATGACTTCATCTTGTTTAACAGATGCATAGTACTCCATTGTGTAGATATACCAAAGCATCTTTAACCAGTCATCTGTTCTTGGGCACTCAGGCTTTTTCCAGATTTTGGCTATTGTAAACAGTGCGGCAATGAACAACAAGTGCAGATGTCATTTCAACTATACTCTTTTGCCTTTCCAGGATATATTCCCAAAAGTGGCATCTTCCTTTCTTCTTATTCTTTTCCCTCTTGCAGTGCCAGGGCTTGAACTCAGGACCTTACTATGTCAGATAAGGACTTTGCCACCGAGCCACATCCTTGGCCCTTGCAAGAGTGATTCTTCATATTTGGGAACCACAGGCTATTTTAGAAACTCATGAATCTTTACATTAAGCCCCGCTCAGAAAAATTTTGTAAACCATTTAGAGACATTCACATGTTATAAACCCCTCATGTATTGGGAAATAAGAATAATATTTGCTTAATTGATACTTATATGCAAATATTTACCAAATAAAATAATAAAAATTCAGAACAAAAGTAAGCAAGAAAAGGTTCTAGGTAACCTAGACATTAAGTTAGAAGAAACAAGTTGATATAATAAATTGTATCTCTCCTTTACAAATGTGACACAGCCTCCTCCCAGAATCAGAGAAAGAACTGGACTTTGAACATTTAGGATGTCACCATTCACTGTGACCTTGAGAGGAAAGTGCTAACCCCAGCCTGCATCAATTCCTCTCACTCACCACCTGGCAGGACTTTGAGCAAGGAACAGAATCCTGGGAGGGCTCTTTACTGTATCTGAAATGAGGGCTTGGAGCTGGAAAGGTAGTACAGCAGGTAAGGCACTTGCCTTGCACACAGATTGCCAGTTTGATCCCTGGCACCCCAGCACTTCGAGGGATCACTCCTGAACAGAGACCCAGGAATATCCCCTGAGCACTGCTGACTGTGGATCCCACCTCCTGCCCCCTCAAATAAATAATAAAATGAAAACTTGCCCAAGAGGCACTTCAAACAAAGCACATTTGGTTCTCAGATTCTGTGAATGCATGCAAATAGGGGCATGTGTGGGGTAGAGGGGTGTGTGGTGTGTGTGTGTGTGTGTGTGTGTGTGTGTGTGTATGAGAGAGAGAGAGAGAGAAAGAGAGAGAGAGAGAGAGAACATTGATTGTTCTCTTTGGGGATCCTCTGTGCCTCAGTTGTTGTGGATGGAAAGGGAGTAACAGCACCAAGGGATCCGATCTACAACTCCCCAACTCCCACCACACACACACACACATTCACACGTCACACATATAGCACTACTCTCACACCACATGTATACCCCATTCATGTCACAAATATGCATACACAAACCATACACACATACTCAATACAACACCACACAAATACCACACATCATAAACACCACACACCCCATATATGGAACTATATATATGTAATACATATATACATATACACACACACCATATCTATACAACATAAATGCATACACACATATCCCCACATGCCTCCACATATACACAGACCCATAATAAAGGAGAGTGCCTTAATTGGTCTGGTTATGATCAAATCGGTATTCTACTGACCATAAGAGCAAATTTTAACTAATAATTTCCCTTCTATATATTACTTATATATATATTCCCTTTTTATATACTACCTATACAAAATATTCATGCAGCAACAGATCCAATAAATATGTCTGAATTTATTTTGGCAAAATGTGGCTTGTAGCTTCAAAACTATAAAAATGTCAAAGCTCTTTATTCTGGGAATTATTTTATAATAATTTATAAATAAATATAATAATTATTTTATATAAAAATACATATGAAGTAGAAGTTACACATATAGCAGAGAAATTATACACTAAATATACTACAAAATAAACTACAAAATATACTACATATACTACAAAATAAACTTTTTTTTATATACTACAAAAATAAACTTTTTTAAGAAACAATAATTGCTCTCCCAATTTGTAATACTGGAACATATAACATTACCAGTTTTAAGTGTTTTTGTGTGGATCAGTTTACGTACATTTTTATATTAAAAAAAATCCCTTAAAATACAAAACCAGACATCATTGCATTATACTTAAATTTTCCTTAAAGTTATTTCAAATAGAACAAATCCTTTAAAATAAAATCTAAAGGAAAGATGATGCATTATATGAGATTATTTGATTTTTTTTCAAGTTTATACTTACTATTAGAAGCCATAATTCCAAATATCATGGTAGTATTTCTTCGGACAATTTTGTCTTCATGGGTAAGCAGTTTACTTAAGGGTTCCACAGCTCCAAGTTCAAGGAGGGTTGCTTTATTTTCCTCACCTGACACAGGTAAAATAAAATTATACAAGGGGGCCAGAGGGGAATACAGGGGTTAAGGTATTTGCCTTGCATACAGCCAACTTCAGTTTGATCCCCTATGCCACATATGGTCCCCTCAGCACTGTGCGGGAGTGGCCCCAATCATAGCCAGCGTAATCTCTGAGCATCAAGGGATGTAGTCCACTAAATAAGTAAGTAAAGAATGAAATCATCCATGGGCATCCATTTCTTTGGGTCATTGTGATTTTCTAGTGGTCATCTGCCTGTGGATTCCTCTTTGCTTCCCATGAATAAACTTTAGGACACAGTTTTCTGCCAATGTTGACAAAACTGGCTTCCTCTTGTCATCCAATTCTTGGTTCACACTGTACTTCTGAGCACCCTACCCATGTTAACAGGATACCCAAGTCTTCCTTGTCTCTGTTTGTCCTGCTCGTTTTCTTCCTGCCACCTAACCACTTCTTATTCCATATACTTTAACCCCCCCACTCATCCCACCTCTACCCCCAACAAAGAGAGATGGTCTTTTTGCTCTGTTCTATCCTAATTCCTGTGCTCACATGGTACCAGTCAGGCAGTGGTATGATAGATTGTACAATTGTATGAGTTGTTGTAAAAATCAATGAAGTACATCATCTCCCCCACACTGCACTTTCAAGTGTGTGATGGAGTGGGGGGAAGAGGCGGCTCACTTTACAACCAGTGGCATTAGAGCCCCTCTATCGCATTCAAGATAGGCAGGCCTGCAGCCAGTGTGGGGGTACACTCACTGAGGGGATCCAGAGGTCATTGGGGATCCTCAGTAGTGGAGCAAGGAAGGTCAGAAGCAATCTATTCCTCCCTGCTGAGTGGGTTATCATCTTTCAAGGCCTGGAATAAATGTTGAGGGTCTGACTCATTTCAGCTTTTCCATTTCACTGGGCTATGAATATTTCTGTTTCCCTTTTAAAACAAACTTGAGACTATAATAAGGTCAGTCTCTTTTTGCCTCAGCTATTGCACAAAATTATTTTGCACTTCAAGTTATAGGTTCATCTTCTGGAAAAGTGGTCCTCCAAAGGAAACTCAATCTTCACATAGTCCCCAGAATTGCCCTTATAACTAACCTTTTTATATAGCCTGTTGAGAATGTGCTAAAAATTAAAAAATCACAGAACAAAGCTGTTACGCATGGCCCATACTTAGTTTGTACATTTACCTACTGAAGGCCAAGCTGCTTGTTTTCTGGTTTTCGCAATTAGGAACAAAGTTACTGAAAAAACAAAGGGATTTCTCTGTGGATTTAAATTTTCAACTCCTTAAGGAAAAAAACCAGGGAGTTATTGCTGGGTCTTAGGGTTGAGTTGATGGTGGTTTTCCAAGAAATCACCCAGTTGTCTTTCAGAGTAGCTCCAAAATCTGAATTCCACCAGCAGTGAAGGAGATGAATGAATTCTGGTGCTCATATGCCTGACAGCATTTGCAACACTCAGTGTCTTTCAACTACTATCATTACTTCCTTTAATTTTTAGTAAAATTCATCAGTGAAACATCCCAGCTTGGCTTTATAATAACACATTTCAGTTTTTGTAATAGGTACAGAGAGAGGTTAGGTGTTGTGTGTGTGTGCGTGGTCTGTGTGTGTGTGTATGTGTGTGTGAACTTTGGGAGTTTGTGTCTTTAAATAAATACTAATAAGTCCTGTAACTTATTAGAATTAAATCATCCAGAATATTCATAGCACCCTCTTATTATGTGTAGGATCTATAGAGTTATAATCTTTAATATTGCTATTGATAAGTTGTTCTCTCCCTTTTTATGTATCAGTCTGGCTAGTAGTTTGTCTTTCCTATTGATTATCTTAAAAAGGTAGAAATTACTTCCTTACTTCCATTGTTTTTAGTATCAATTTAGCTTATCTTTTTATTTTATCATTGTTTTCTATTTCATTGATTTCTACTAAGATAGCTATTAGATTCCTATTACTAGTAACAGGTTTTAGTTTGTTCTTCTTTTTTCAGATTCTAAAGAGAAAACCAGAGGCCATTGACTTGAGCTCTCCTTTTCTAACAGGCATTTACACGCAATAAATTCCCTTCTAACTCATTCAATAACAGTCTCAAGTATTTTATAGGCTGTTTTCATTTTCAACTCTGACTTTCCATTTGAATTCTTCTTCCACTCATGGGTTATTTAGAAGTACATTATTAACTCTGTAACTATTTAATGATTTCCAGAGTTCTTTGCAGTATTGATTTTTCATTTAATTCTATTGTGGTATAACATATTTCGTGTAATTGGAATTCTTTTAAATTTATTGAGGCTTGCTTTATTGCCCAGAAGATGTCTATTTTCATAAATGTTCTATACGCACTTGAAAAATAATGTATGCTCTCACTGTTGTTGTAGTGTTCTATAAATACTAATTAGGTTAAATTAATTTATATTGCTATTCAAGTGTTTACAACCTCTATTCCTAGCAGAGTGTGGTCCATGAAGCCAAAAGTATTCAGACCCATGATATGTGAGGACCACTGGATCATAGCTGGCAGTGCTTGGGGGATCGTGCAGTTCCAGGGATTGAACTCAGGGACTTGTACATGCTGGACATATGTTCTGCCATTTGAGTTGTTTTCCTGGCCCTTCTAGTGTTCCTCTCTGTATCCAGGAAAAAGTAATCCTGTATAGCCCACAGCAAAAGAGTAGGAAATGATATCGTGCCTCCTCAAGGCAGTTAACACTGATATACATCATTTGGAATTCTTGTACATCAGAAATGTCTTTTCTTTCTTACTTATTTATCCTGCATTTATTTGTATCAGTATAAACTCATGAATAATTTATCTTCTACTTTAGGTTATAATTCAATGCTACTTAATTTTGTCACTCAACTTTTTCTAGCGTTGACTATTGGAAGTGCTGACATTGAAAATTTTAAAAGCTACACTAAAATCTTCTACCCAGTTAATAAATTGCTCCTTAAGATATTTAGTTAGGCATATGGGGAGCAGATACATTACTTGGCGATGGTACATTAATGACAATCTGATTGTCTAGGAGAATTGACAGGAAGTAAGCTAAAGAGTAGGGAGAGAAGTGCCCATGATGTAGTATATATGTTAAGAAATTAATGATTAGAAAGATAAACAGAAAAAAATTCCAAACCTTTTAAAGCAAATTTATAAATGGCTTCACATGCTTTAGCCAAAATTTCCTCTTCTGGAGAATTAAGCATTAACACCACAGTTGCAGCTTTTTTAATTTCAATTGTTATTGGATCAAACTAAAATGCAAAGAGAATAATATCAGATTCACAGTTGAGTTTCAAAAACCATAAAACAATGAATGGTGCCCTGAAAGCTAAAGAGAATATAATCTTACAAAAAGGGTGTTGTCACTACTCACTAAGTACATTATACTTTTTTTTTTAAATAATGTAGGAGTACTGCTATTTGTTCAGCCATTGATTAAGCTGATTGAATTGGTCATGAACTCCACATTATACATTTTCATTTAAAAACTATCACTGATAGACAATTTTCAACCTTGGCGACTTTGGGATTCCTAAGGTATGGCAGGTAGAGCTTTGGAATCTGACAGGTCTAGTTTGTCAACTGTGCCATGTGCAATCAAATAAATTACTTAAGCAGGTTGAATTTCAGTTTCCTTTTCTGTATAGTAGGCATATAAATTCCTACTTCAAAGGATTAAGGAGAGGGTCAGAGATCACTTTTGTCAAGCACTTTCATCTGTCACATAATAAATTTTAATTATCCTGTATATCTATAGTTCATAAGAATTATATATAGTACAAACAAGATTATGTATATGCACAGTATACATAATACATAAGACTATATAAGTCAAAATATAAGAATATTGAAGGGCTATATATGTTAGATACCCGAACAGTCTCATTAATATCTTCTTCCTAACTACAACACGTTTTCTGGAAAACAGGAACTGCATATATGAAACAACTGAAAAATCAACGAAGGGCCAGCAATCAGGGCAGGTGTGGGGCCCCAATTTAATCACCAGAACTATATGGCCCCCAGAGCATCGCCAGGTGCAGCCCTGGGGATCTCAGCACTTGTAGAATAACATTGGTTTGTCCTTTCTGCCTTGACGTAGGGAGTTTAGGTTTACTGGGTTATTCCCATCACAGTGCTCCCATTCCTCTGTGTTTATTTGTAATTTCTTTCTTTGTGCTCCGTTAACTTGTAAATACTGTTTTCCTCTTCTTAAGTCCTTTGCATAGTTAATTCAGAGCAATGTCCCTTTTGTATGGATACAAGAAGACAGTAAATGCTATGCTTTTGTAAGGTGGGAATTAATTGACTCCGAATGATATTTACCTCCTGGACATCTGTTCATCTGTTTTCTCAACTTAAGCCCCAGCTGCCCTTACTTCCTAGCACCCCAAAAGCAGGGTCCTGACGAAGGACTAGATGGACCCAGGACAAGTGGTGAGTTATGTCCTGCCCTGGCATCGAAATGGGCCTGGCCAAAGTGTCATAATGCTTAACTATAAGTTAAGAGCATGATAATGGACAAATTCTGTCATGATCCAAAGAGTAATAACTAGATTCAGATCCTGCTAGGGTTAGGAGAGATTAATCTGGCCTGAGCACTGTAGTCTGAGTCTGTGGCCAGATGTTCCCAGGAGAGTTGCCTTAGAAACCTTAATGTATCTCTTAATGTGTCCATTCAAAAATAACAAATATTAAGATGCTAATTAAGATGTTAATTAGGTTATTGACCTAAGGAGAAGAGGAATGACCCCTAGGTGGTGTTTCTGCCCTTGAGCTGTCAGGAAGGGCTTTCTTACATTAATTTTGCTACTACGGGGCATCTACCCACAGAGTGCTGGAGTCGGAGAGAGAGTTGGAAGAGAGGAGAGAGAGAGCAGGGCAGCAAAATGAAGCGTGGAGAGATGAGCGGGAGAGACAGGAGGAAACAGGAATAAGGGTCAGTGTGAGACTAAAATGGGGGGCTTAGAGAGACTGGAACAGGCAAGTGGGGAGAATGGAATAAAAGGCAACTGATTAATTATCCGACTTGGCCCTTGTTTTCCTCCTCCATGGCATGGGCCATCTTGACTGGGTGAGCGGCCCGAGACCACCAACCCGGGTGGCGAGAGGGAGAGCTGTCGGGGCTCTTCCTAGCTGCCCCAGAGGTTATACAAGCACTGAGATCTCAGAACAGCCTTGCATTCTCAGCTACTCACTCAGAACCATCTGGGCCCTGTTGACTAAGTATCCCTGAAGACACCCAGGCCCTTTAGTACTGCTTTGTAACACCCCGCATCCTCCACTTTCCCTCCCCCACAAGATGCATACTCCCCAAGCCAGTAAAAAATAGCAAAGTATAAAATTGGATAAAATAAGGACCAGGGGAAATGACTGTATAGTAAAAGAAAAAATTCCAGGACTCTAAGACAAACCCTGAATGCTGTGATGAAACCTTGGGAATTCATTCACTTGTAGCTTACAAGGACAATATAAACTCATGACTCCTGTTCAGGGTTTTCTTTGGTCAGGGAGAAAACAAGTGATTACATGACCTTTTCTGTTTCCAGAAACTGGCGAAGGGTGATGGTGGTGGCGGCGGCGGCGGTGGTGGTGGTGGTGGTGGTGTGTGTGTGGGGGGGGGGGGGGGGGGGGTGGGGGCAGGGTACTTCAGTTAAAGAAATGAAACCGGCCTTTCTCTCCTGGCCTGGCAGAATAGCTCCCACTAAGAAGGGCTGCAAGAAGGAGGACTGTTCCATCATCTATGTGGTCGTGACCCGAGAAAGAAAGCACTATCCCATCCATAAGCATATCCATAGGTAGATTCCAAGAAGCATGCACCTCAGGCACTCAAAGACATCTGGAAGTCTGATGTGAAGGAGAAGGGCACCCCAGATGTGTGCAATGGCACTGAGCTCAACAAAGCTGTCTGGGACAAAGGAATCAGGAATGTCCCATACTGAATCCATGAGCGTTTGGTCCAGAAAGCGTAATGCGAGTGAAGATTCACCAAACCAACCCTATATGTTGGTTACCTACTTACCTGTCATCACTTTAAAAAATCTACAGTCAGTGTGGATGAGGACTAAACTTATGACATAATGTATAAGATCAACACTTTTGCGCCCCCCAACAATGAAGCCAAACGTAATGTCCGAGGCCTAGCTGGCTGAGCTGAGCCTTCCAAGATGGATGCTTTGCTGCATTCTGAGAGATAATGCAAACTGAAATTCTGTCTCATCAGAGAGCAGAACTTAGATTACTCTGAATAAGGAAGCATCATTTATGAGGTCAGAAGAGGGAAAACAGACAAAGGAGCAATGACCTGGGGGGGGGGGGGGGGCGGTGTGGGGTGGGAATAGCCTTAGGGTGGTAGAATAGCATTATTCAACAGGCCTGTTCCTTTGGCATCAGACTAGAAGGGATCAGTCACCCAGGTCACATAGCTCATTGTTAAGTCTCAGACTTCCATTGAATGAGGGCCCACACCCAACTGTGCTAAGGGCTTTCTCCAGACTCTACACTCAGGGATTACTTCCGACAGGACTTGGAGGGACCATAAGTGGTGCTGGGAATTAAACCCAGGTTAACCAGTTGCTGACCTTATCCACTGCACTCTATTTTCAGCCCCTCAAACTTGATTTGAGGGGGCAAGTCTTCAAGAAAAGACTGTCTTCTGCTTCAGGCCTGTGGCACTTATAATTTCTGGGATATGATGCTGAGAGAGACAATGGTGGCCAAGAGTCTCATGGGAGTTATGGATCAGAGGAGTATATGGGCGTGGGCGGCCATAGAAATATGAGAGGGTCCTGAAAGTACTAGATACTGGCACTTGAGAACCTTTTAAAAAGTATTCAAGGGCAGGGGCTAGAGTGATAGCACAGCGGGTAGGGCATTTGCCTTGCATGCAGTCCGACTCGGGTTCGATTCCCAGCATCCCATATGGTTCCCCAAGCACGGCCAGGAGTAATTCCTGAGTGCATGAACCAGGAGTAACCCCTGTGCATCACTGGGTGTAACCCCAAAAGCAAAAAACAAAAACAAAAGTATTCGAGGGCAGCCCCAGAACACCAGAGGATTGGGCCTCAATTTTGTTACACACAGGCCTCACTGACCACATTTTATATTTATCTGAAAATTTAGGTAGGGAGCTAGATTATCTCTCATAGATCTCCTCCAGATATGAAATGCCAGGATATTATAAACTACAAAAGCAAATGACAGACAAAATCAGTACTGTGATAAAGAAGGGAAAATTCATTTTGTTTGGACTAGAGTGAATGGGAAATGGTCTACGAAGGTGTTAGAATTTTGGATATGATATAAAGTATAGGAAAAATGGGGTCGGATATTAAAGTGGGGAAGTACCTCTAAGAATGTTTAAAATGGAAAAGGATTCTATTCATAGCAGATGAAATAGGAACTAGACTAAATAGAAAACACATCATGGGAAGCAGAAATAATGAATAATGAGGAAATATGGAGGCCTCAGCAAATCACCTTGACCCTATCTTTATCTAACTGTCTTTAGAGAATAAGCAACAGAATTCAGACGGAAAGTTTGTGACCTTAAAATTTTAAATCTTGCTATGTTATCTTTCAGGTGAGGATAAAGCAATATTTGGTCTTTTATAAAAACACCAAATACATCAAATATATGTAAAAAGAAATAATTTTCCAACAACTCCATCCAACATTTGGTAGGGCAAGACATAAAAACTATAGTGGCTATATAAGATTAAGAAACTGATAATGGTGGTATGAATCATAAATTAATAATAATATTATTAAATTATAAGATTACTATTATAATACTGAAGTAATGCTGGCATTATAAATATATGTAAGGATTATTTGGAATTAACATTCTAGAATCTTTCAACAAATAACAGGTCATTGAACAAGGAATTTAGTTCAAAGGACTCAAGCACGTATTTGCGCAAGACTCTGAGTTCAGTCCCTCACACCGCTTGGCTGACCTGACCAGGTATGCCCCTGGTGGTTTCCAGCACTGTCAGATGCAAGTACCAAACCGTCAGCTCTTACCACCTGGCCAGGGAGACCCCCATGCCAGCACTGTTACCATCATCAGGTAATGAAAATTTTTTATGAAGAGATTGAGATTATTGCCTAGTTATTACTTATTGTTCATCTTGAGAGAAATACACAGGCCCAAGTACATGTATATAACTAGCTATAGATACACAATAAAATAGCCACATTACTGAAAGGAGAGGGCAACAAAGGAAATCACTCAATTCAGTAAAAAGGG